GCACAAGTAACATGAAATACTTTTTCACATAATCCTTCACACTTAATACCGGGTTTAATTTTATTCACGGCTTTAGAACACGCACGACATGGATGCCGAACTGATCTATCCACCATCTTGATGACGTCCCCTATTTTAGTATTTACTAAAAAACTAAAAAAAAAGCACACATTACAAGCTAAACACTTCAAAATTTACTTGTTCAATGATTTAAGTTAGTATGTTTTACAAATTATTAATAAAGTACTCATTTCTATCTAAGACAAACTTCCTATCCTGCCTTACTTTCTTCTTCAGTGTTTGTTATCGTGTTATTTACTCATCATCAAGCGATAGGGATCAAGCAAGCTGCTAGCAGACAACAGTTGAAAAATAACGAGACCATATACTAAATTAACATTATATACTAAATTATTTGTTTTTTTAAGCTCTTCCGATCATGCATGTTCGTGAACTCATTTAAGTTTATTCCGCCTTACACCTATAAAACAAATTTCATCAAAATCGGACATTAAAAAGTTATTATTTATTTATTTATTTATTGAGTTACATATGAGTACATCATAACAAAACGAAATATTGTCAATGGTTAAATAAAGACTTAAAACTAATATATAAAACTAATGCATCTGTATTTACACAAAATCAACTGAATCTTCCCAAAATACAACATTGTTACATGGCAAAAAATTAAGCTAGAAGGAGTGGGAAGGTTTATTTATACCTAATTCCAGCAGCCCTTAAAATAATTTTTAAACAAGTTATCGCGTTCACGGACGTATATACACATATAAAAATGAGTATAAATATATATATTTATATATACAAATAAATAAATGATTTATTGATTGGACTTCTCAGCGCAAAAGATTTGGTCAACTTCAGTAGCAGCAGGGACACCAAAATAATCGTCAAGGATATCGAAGAAAGTAAGGTAGCCGATATGAATGGAACAGTTCCTAGTGATTTACCGCCAATCAAAGGTATCATGGATGTGAGACAGTTATTTTGGAACAAGGAACGTCCAATGTTTGCCAGGCGTTTATCTTGCTTCGAACGTTAAGGCCTATTTTGCTTGGAGCAATTGCAGCGACTAGTAGGATCCCAAATCCTACGTATCGCCATATATTTTTTTTTTTTGATCGTCTATTTGATACTTCCACTAAGGTCAAGTAGAGCCTCTTCTAATTCCTCGCCGAGATGCATGAACAAGTCAAGTGCCCAGACTGGTTAATCTTGCTTGTGAAGAGCAAATGAATAAAATCCCAACTTCACCTGAAGACCTGAGACTTTTAGAATCTGTGGAGGTAAATTTGCCTGGGAAGGCTCACTGCTCTAAAGAACTACAGTTATCCATTAGAAGAAGAAGCAAGCTCTTCAAGCAGTTCACAAGTGCCACCAACAGACATGAAAGACGCATTTTTAGAATTTTTCAAATCCACAACGCCACCATCGAACCCCAACAAGAGGAAAAGTGCTCAGATTAGACTTTCACAATACGGAGACGGACATGTGTGTTCTCTTGTCAGGTTTGTGACGGACAGTGAAATGCTCGAAAGACTTAGAGAATAAGAAAGAATCAACAATGAGAAGAAAACAAAAAAGGTTGTAAAATGCAAATCTGAATTTGGCAAGTGTTGGTGAGCCGAATTTGTCATCGGCACACTCAAACACATATTTCGCCGTGTTACGATGGAATAAATTACTAATAACCTATACCGTTGTAAAGATGAGATTACGGGCTTTATTTTTCATATATTAAACATCATCGGGCGTTTCTATATAAGCGTGTAGGAATTTTCGAAAACAGGTGATTTTTTATAGTGCTTTCTAACCCTAATTTTGGTGACGTCATTCGTTTTGACGTTTTTTGGCGATGTTCAGCTGTTACATTCTCTGTAACGGCGTCTGCTGCGTTGCGTTTTGTTTGTTTTGAATGAGTGTTCACCAAGTTTCGCATTTATATTTTATTGTTTACTTATGTTGTTGGTTATATTACTTTGTTATGTGACTTTTTGTTATTTATACATAATGGACGACTTAAGATTTCTCTGGAATCAGACAATTTTTACTACAGGACAGTTAACCTAGTGATGGTGAGGACACGGTAGGCCTAGGTGATGAACAATGGCCTAACAGTTTGGAACCAGAACCCATTCAAGCTATCAGTAATGTGAATCATGCGGACACTGATAACGAAGAATATGCTGTCTAAGCGATATAGATTTGTTCGATGAGGGAGAGTTTTTGTATGAGGACTCGGATTTATCCTCACTCTTTTCGCACTCAGAGGATGAGTTCATTCACACTCAAAAGGACCTGGACGCTCTGTCTTCAGGATCGGACAGTCCTAAACAAAAAAAGCGCAAGAGAAAAAATACTCCAGTCACCTCGACGATCATACTAAGAGGGGGTAAACCTAAGAAGACGACCGAACCTGCTGCAGGCGATTTACCTGCCTTTGGCCCTGGTGTCGACTCGACTTCTGGGGCTGTGCCATCGACTGGACTATGCGGATCACCTCCACCTTCAGCTCTGGCACCTGCACCACCGAAAGTACTGGACCATCTCCACCTGCAGGGTCACCACCACCGCCTGAACCACCTCGACGGCCCAGACCACCTGGACCCCCTGGACCGCCCGGATCTCATGGACCCCCTCCACCTGGTCCTCCACCTATCGGAATCCAATTCACTGAAGATAACGATACCTGCAGCCACAATAACTGGTTTCGCGCCAGTTTTGAGAATGCACTAATGCCAGTCATTGGTCATGTCCTCACAGAACGTCCAACCATGTCACACTACCCCATCGCCATCCCAACCATTGAAAACTAGAGTGTTAACCCCTAACTTTACTTGACCGTCGGAACCCGCGCCAATGTGCCCATTATCGTCGAGTTTGTTGAAAACATCAGCCACCACATAGAGTCAGTAGAACCATCGTCCCAAAACCTTGGACAACTATCCTCCAAAGTTTCAGGCCTCACCATCCTCAGCCACTCCCTTGAAAGAGCCACCCTTCCAACCTGGCACGCACTTACTTTAACAGTAAATCCGAAACACTCATATAAGAAGATTAACGACAAGAACTTTGCATCAAAGATCAACTTTCTTGCTTCCGGCCTAACCTACCAAGGTACTCTCAAGTACCCAGTCAAAGTACACACGATCCGCAAAGTACCTCGTTACTCCTACAAATTACAATCCCAAAAAAGGTCCAGTAGATTATCTGAAGTTCTCCCCATCAGCGTACCTCCTTGCTGATGTATTCTGGTTCCAACCGCACATTCGGTCTCCTGAACCATACCATCATCAAAGTCAAAGTCAAAACATTCTTTATTCATTATAGTTTCACATTACATGAACTTGAATAGAGTCATAAGCTAATTCAAAATTGCTTACTGCAAATTAAATACATAAAAAGAGTTCTAAAATTACTTTACTTTTACTTTTACCAAAACGGTGACTTTAAGGATTACAGTATTTGGAATTCAAATTAAGTTAGGCTTGTAACTGTTTTTTTACTAATACTAAATAATTCTGTTACTGAGTAGCAGGAAGTTCTTAAAAAATATCCTTTTAAGAGCTGCTTGAATTTATTAAATTTTGTTTCTTTTTGGATGTGAGCTGGTATAGACTGGATAAATTTTAGCCCTATGTTAGATGTCTTTTTAGTGTAAAATCCGAGATTATGCCGAGGTAGGTTAATTTTTAATCTGGTGTTATATACTAGTTGTCCTGTTGAGATGGATGATAATTGGATCTGTTTAGAAAAAATTATTGTTTCATAAATATAAAGACTATAAACTGTTAATATTTGTAATTCATGAAAGAAGCTCTTGACTAGCTCTTTCTTTTTAAGATTTTTCATCGCCCTGATAGCTTTTTTCTGCTTAATTAGTACTTTATCTAAATTAGTTTTTGTTGTTGCCCTGTATAGAACAATTCCATATGAAATATGTGAATGTATTAATGAGAAACAAACAACTCTTAAAGTGTCTAAACTGCATATTCTGAACATCTGTCGCAGAGCAAGGATACCGGAAGATACCTTTTCAACCACATAATTCACATGGCCCTCCCAAGATAGATGTTTATCGATAATTAGTCAAAGAAAGACATTTTGTTTGCTTTACTTGGTTTAATCTTTCTGATTTTATGCAAATGTTTGGTTCAAAATTTTGTCTACGTTGTTTAGTGGAAAATGATATAAAATTGGATTTTTCTGTGTTAATAAGCAGATTTTTTCGGTCAAGGAATTCTTTAGTGGATAAAAGACTCTCCTAAAAACCTTTAAATCTGTTGATTTGATCATCCCGGAATTAGCACATTTCAATCATCAGCAAATGGACACATAGACCCGCCGTTTCCAGGAATCGCTCCTGGCATACCTCTAATATAGCAGAGAAAAAGTAGAGGCCCCAGGATCGATCCTTGCGGCACCCCACATTTCAGCGTCTGATGCTGAGATCATCCTCGGATTAAAGATTGAATCAGAAGAATTCGATGGAGTCACAGTCCCTATCCTAAACCCACAGGCTACTCTAATCGATGAAAATTCCCAGTATTTACAAGGTACACTCCCCATGAATGGAGCGATATCCATCCGTGTCTGTGACCGGGCTTCTCACGAAGGCTACAAAAAATAGGGCTCTCAGCAAACATCATAGGTATATATGAAAATGACAACGTATACGGGTCATTCTCCACTAAACGCAAAAAACTAAGTATCCCTGTGAAAAAAAAAATTATATAGAAGACTTTGATTTTCATATTTACAAAATATCTTTAATTAAATTTGTTTTATAGCATACATATGCTATTTTTTCAATAATTTGAAAAATTATCATAGATTTCTTGTTCACAGACTATGACAAGTCATGTCCGTGGACTGTCACCTACCATGTTTCTAACAGTTAGCAAGTGAATAAAAAATAAAAAAAGATGTTTTTTTCTTATGGAAATAATTATATTGCAATAATTAACTGTTAGTAATCGTCTCACCCCCTTAAATTTATTTTTAATTAAATAATTTTTATCAAAATTTCTATAAAACTCTTGTCACTAAAATTGTCATCATGTCTGTGGACAATTGAATTTTAGTCTCTAAATGACTTTTCTAGTAGTGGAACTTGACTAATGCAGTACTTGTACAAGAAGAGGGATAGCCATCTTGGATATATTCAGTTCTTTGAGTTGTGCTGTGAAGAAATTTGTGTTGTTTTGCTTGTTGTTGTGAGAAAAGGAGGCAACGTTAAGATCATCTCATCAGATCTGTGGTCAGTATTACTGTAAACACAATTGTACTGTTATTGTGTTTTTATTTTTGTACTATCCTATTACAGGTGTTCAAACCAAAACAGTCATTTTATTAAGATAACCTAAAAGGTTTTGGGTGTAGACAATCATTCTCATGCTTGGCATCATTTCCGTGGACATCATGTCCGTGGACCACGATGTCCACGGACATGATGAAAATGTCCACGGACATTATTTTAAAAGGAAAGTCAATAAATAATAACATTTTAACTTTTTTTATGTAGGTTCCCTTAATTATTTATCACCCAAACATATATTAATGCCAGAAAGTTTAAATTACACATTTAATTTCTGTCACAATTTATAGAATAACTTAAAAGAAATTTTATTACAATTTTTACAAAGAAAATTTAACTAGGCCTACTTAAGCCAATTTGGTTGCCTTAACTTAGTCATTAATTACACTTAGTACACAATTTATATTTTATGTTTATTAATATTTTAAAATACAAAATTAACTGAATGTTCAAAACTTAAATTCAAAGTATAAGTTGGAGGAAAAGTGACATTGTAATAAACTGTTTCATGATTAAAACATGAAAGATTAAAAAATTTCAACATGAATATTAATTTGAAAGCAAAATTGTCTACAATTTTACCCTCTAGGTATTTTTTTTATTTTTTTTCAGGCTTTGACAGTCAAAATGCCAGGCAAAAAGAAAAAGAAAAATTCAGACGCATACTTATTAAAACGGAAAGAGCAAAAGAGGTTGAGCATGCAACGTGCAAGGGAAAAATTAAAAACTGATCCAGACAAATATGAAGAAGAGAAGAAGAAAGATAGGGATAGGAAAAAAAGGAGTAGAAAAAGTATTCATGAAATGACAGAAAGAGAACAGAGAAAAGTTAGAAAAGGCTGGAAGAAATGTTCCCAGACTTACCGGGAACGGTTGAAAAAAAATAAAGAAATAGAGGAAGAACTTTTGAATAACACGCCACCTAACAGCCCAATGCCTATTTTAAATGTTTCAAATGAAGTTGAGGTATCAACATCAAGGGTTGACAGTGGTAAAAAGAAGAGGAGAAAAAACAGAGAAAAAATGAAAAAAGAAATGAAATCTCTAACTGATGAAAATAAAAAGCTCTTAAGGAAATTGGCAAAATACAAACAGAGGCTAAATAGATTGAAAAAAGCCAAAGTATTGGACCTAACGCCCAGGAAGAAAATTGAAAAACTATTGAACGGACAAAAGTGTTCTAATGAAGTAAAAAAACAGCTTTTATTTTCTGAAGTCTTGCAAATGCAAGTTAAAAGTAATTTTGCCAAAGAAAGAAAACTCAGCCATAAAAGGCTAATGGTAAAATCTCTCAGTGGGAAAATTGTTAAAAAATACAAGCTGTCCCATAAAGTAGCATCCTTAACTTCCTGGAGGACTCAGATCAGTGGTCAAGAATGGACCGCTGGAGTTCATTTAGTAAGAAAAAGAGACTTATTAAAAAAAGTCAAACTACGCCAGGATGTATTGACATTCCTGGAAGATGATGAAAACAGCAGGCAATGCCCTGGAAAAAAAGATACGATAACAAGGTCAAAAACTAAAAAGCAGAAAAGGGAGTTGAACGACTCACTAAAAAACTTGTATACAAAATTTATATCATGCTATGAGGAACATAACAAAATAAGCTATTCTCATTTCTGCCGATTAAGGCCGTTTTGGATTGTCATTCCTCACTGCAGGTCAAGGGAAACTTGTCTCTGCAAAATCCATACTAACATGAGCCTTATTGTTTCAAAAATGAACACGCTAAAGATGATCAGAGAAAGAACGCCTGAAGACCTAATAAAGAACATTACTTGTGAAAATGAATATTTAAAGGAGAAATGTTTGGAGAAAAAATGCATGGAGTGTAAGGGAAACAAGGTAGCATTTTTAGATTACAATGAAGAGGACAGTGTCACTTTATATCAATGGGTTGACAAGAAAGTTGAAGTGCAGATGAAAGGCAGAAAAAAGATTTGCAAGAAAACAACAAAGGAAGAAATAACTTGTTCTAAGAAAAAACTGAAAATTTTGTTTCAAAGCATGTTTGATAAATTTGTTCAGCATGTTAATAACATAATTCATCAACACCATGCTGTCAGACAAATAAAGAAGACCTTAAAAGAAAATGAAGCTTTCTTGCATATAGATTTCTCAGAGAATTATAATTGCAAATTTGGCCAAGAGATCCAGTCATTTCACTTTGGAGGAAGCAGAGATCAAGTTTCAATGCACACCTCTGTACTGTATTACCATGGCATAAATGGAACTGTCAGCCAGACTCTGTGCACATTATCTGAAAACAGAAGACATGATTCTGTCGCCATTTGTGGCCACCTAGTATCTATTTTCACGGAGATAAAAAAGTATGTTCCGAATCTGGAAAAAGTTCATTTTTTGAGTGATGGCCCGACCAATCAGTACAGGAACAGGAAGATGTTTGTTTTAGCTGCTAAATTTATAGCGAGAGAACTAAATGTAGAGACATTGCATTGGCACTTCTCCGAGGCCAACCATGGGAAAGGTGCCCCAGATGGGGTTGGTGGGGTCCTTAAGCGAACTGCAGACTGTGTTGTAGCTCGGGGTAAAGACATTCCCAGTATTGATGCTTTGATACGAGTGCTAGAACAAAACTGTAAAGGAGTTCATCTCTTCAAAGTAGATACTGAAGATATCTTGAAATTAGATACAGAATTCCATGGTTTAGAACTACCAAAATTTAAGGGGATTTTGAAAGTCCACGAAATAGCCTGGAGTAGAAAAATGAAAGATGAAATCTCAGCTAGACGACTCTCTTGTCTTCTATGTGAAGCCAATCAAGAATGCGACCACTATGAGATTGGGAAGATAATGATTCAAACCCCCAAATCTATCCTTTGGAAATTAGTATACATAGGATTTTACTGTTTCAATTTACCTGTTAGGGGCCTAAATGTTTTACTGTCTACTTTTTCATATAAATTACTGTTCGATTAACTACCTTTACAACTGTTCCAATTTATTTGTTTTCTGTATTTTGTTTTGGTTTTCCTACTATTGTTTAAGACACACTCAGTTTTTATCCAAGCATATTAAAGTAGCATGATTATTTGAATGTTTTCCTTAACCAGTTTTTCAGGTGATAAAAACCATGATGGAGAAGGAGGTGATGACAATGTCTGCACTAATCTACCTGCTAAGTGTATCCTTTTTAATTTGTTTTGTTGGATTTTTATTTTGCTAATTTATTACTTTTCTCAAAGGAACAGATGAATAATTTTACAAGTTACAACAGTTTCATTGAGCTATTAGAAGGCTTGTACTTATAAATATATTTAAAGAAAGATCTTTGAAAAATGGTATCTGAATGAGGTTCTCTAGAATACATAATTCTGTGATTCTCATCCCCCTGTGATAACCTCAAAATTTACTGCTAAAGGTCTATCCCTCAGCTCCATGGACATCAGCTCCATGGACTCCATGGTCAATTTAATGACCACGGAGCTGAGTAAATGTCCACGGAGCTGAGGGTTTTAGCTTTTCATATATAAACTATGGGTTTTTTGGTGTAATTTACATTGATTACACCAAATAAGTTATAGTAAATAAGTTACCTACGAGACTTATTTACTTATTAACTTTCCAAATACAAAAACGCATTGATTTTCCTTCACTGTTTTACAGCTAAGAAACAGAAGACATTCCGGAAGAAAAAGCCAATATACTCTGCCATATACAGTGATTCGGATTCTGATCCAGATAACCCTCCAGAGCTCAATGTGAAAACCAATGACTTTGTTGTCGTTAAAGTGTTCGGGAAAAAAACCTTGAACTTCTATGCAGGTTGTGTCACAAAATGTTTCAATAACGGGGGTTACCAGATAAGATTCATGCGAAGGTGCATTGACACTAAAAACAAATTCTTTTTTTCCAGTGAGCCTGAAGCATCAGTTACCAAAGATGAGGTTGTTGCTACTTTGGAGCAACCAGATTTAATAAATTCTAGAGGCCAGTACGTTTTCAAACAATTGCCTGAGAATTACAAGTTATTAGGTTAGCTTTCAAGTAGTAGGCCTATTTAGCTGAAGCTTCTTGAATTTTATATCCTGTTATAAAGACTTGTTACCTATGTATGTAGTTTCAGTAAACATTAAATGAGTTCTTAATTTATTGCTTAGTTTTGATTTAGCCTCCCAAATGATGAATGTTTTATAAATTACATAAACTTGAGTACGCCAATTTAAACAGATTTGTTGCGCTTCCCTGCTTTAATGATTTTAATGACGAAGCACCTAAAAAGAATTTAAAAACATTGTTTGTAAGCATTAGATAATAAACTTTTAACATTACATAAAAATACTAAGAATATCAACATTTTTACCCAATTGAAGAGCAAACGCATGTTACGTCTCTACTCCGTGGACATGTCACAACTCCGTGGAAACAAAAAAAAAAAAAAATATATTTTTTTCTTTTAAATAAGTAGAAAAGCTTGTGTTTCAAAATGCCTAGGCCAGGGTTACCTAGTGAGATTTATGAAAAGGTGTACTGACACCAAAAACAAATTCGTCTTTTCAACCGAGCCAGAGGCTTGTGTCAGTAATGATGAAGTATTATCTATTTTGAAAGAGCCTTCTTTGTTAAACTCCAGAGGGTTGTATGTATTTGAAAACCTACCCCAACAATATAAATTGTTGAACTAAATCATTAATAGTTTGTTGCTGTACTCATTAAGCTTACACTTGACGGAATAGTTTTATTTTCCTGATGCTGTGGTTGTCCCAGTAGAGTTCTTAAATATGTTCTTACTTATTCTTCAAATTTTATAAACATAAGAGCCTTTACTTTTACAAAGTATTTCTTTTACTTTCAATAAATGTGTAATTATTTTAATTGTGTGTATAGTTTTATTAATTTCCCTAAAACATCAGGTCCGTGGACATTGCGGTCATGTCCGTGGACACTTATAAATAAAAACATTAATTTAAGCAAAAAATGGACAAGTATCATCTGGGCGAGCTATATGGTCTAAATAATGAATATTAGTTGAACACAAACTGATTACTAAAAATTAAAAAATTAAAATTTTATAATTTTGTTTTTTGCCTTGTCGAATTCGACGTTTTGTGGAGAATGACCCATTTAAGTTAATTCCACATTTAACGGAAAAACAGGCTATCACCGTACCGAAAATTGCAATTCGCTGCCAGCTAGCACAACCTTTCTAGCCTGGATGTCGTCCGAACCTGCTCCCGTTGGAGCGAAGACACACTACCTGTGGTCTTCATACAGGACCCTGCTCTACAATTCAGAACGTACAGGGAGGACAACATACTTGTGCTACAGACTGCGAGGTTTGTAAGGAACGAACACAGTTCTATCACAATCCCGAAATTTAGACCACAGTAACCTTAACCCGGACTTGACAAAATGATGGTGGGTCATTCCACATGAATTCAACCAAAAATAAAATTGTTTTGAACCTGACCTATTTAGAATTTTATAATTTTTTGTAGGCTTGTTCTACTTATAAAGCAGGTAAAAAATACAAAGTTTTACATTTTTCTGAGTTACCGTGTTTGAGTTACGGTTGTTTTAAAAAATGCAAAAAAGGAGAAGCTGCCAAATCCAGCTTACAGAGGCATAACAGTGAACACATTTTAACCCCAGAGCAGCTATTTCAGTTTTCTGTTGACAACATCACTGGAATTGATTTTGAATACTGCACAAATGATGATTATGCAGAGGCTGAGACGAAACTTTTTTCAAGGTTTAAAGAATCAAAAGCAATTGAAGGGACTCAAAAACTCCATACATTTACACCATTGTCAAAAAACAATATTCTTGCAAAGCCCTATTTTTCTAGCTCAAAACATCAAACAGAAACTACAACAACCATTGACTACTTAACACCAACAGATATAGAAAATATAGAGTCAGGTTATGTCACAGTCTTATGAGTATGTTTTATCTATGGTCTTATATGAGGAATCTTGGTGGCTAGCTTGCATTCTTGAAAAAAGTGATGTTAATGAATTCAAAGTCAGCTTTCTACATTCTTAGGTCCAGCACCTTCACTTTACTACCCCAAGGCAAGTGACACATTAATAATACCAAGCAACACATTCCTTCGAATTAGTTCATCCAGTGACACCAACAGGAAGAGTATATTTTTTGAGTAAAACTGAAAACTGAAACATATGCTCTAGAAAGATTTTTGAAAACATAGAAAAATCCATTTTTGAAACGTTATCGGAGTATGGAGGTTTAGTGAGATGTAAATTAACGAAACTGTAAATATACTATGAACTTGTTTATAGTCTCTAATGCTAGTGAAAATTAACAATAGTCTAAGTTAGTATGGATATTTTAACAACAGTAAATGGATATTTTGTTTTCTTGGAAGAAGTACCAACCGCATGTAACCAATTGTTAAGGATGAAAAAGTTTCAAATAAAAGAAGTTTTTACCAAGAGCACTTCTTGTCAGGTAAACTTGTTCTGCATGTTACTTAATCCTTTAAAATACTCTAAGAAAATGATGGAATATTTTAATTTCTACAATACTAAGATAAAATAAAATACTTAGTTTTACTTCCGGCTGTGAATTTTGTGTTCAAAATCTGGGTTTTAGATGTAAAGATTTTTTTTTAGATTTATAAAAACATGTTAACACTTAAAAAAAAAAATACAATCAAGGAAATGGAGGCATGTAGTATGTCAAATTAAAGCCAAAGAAAACAACACAAATTTGGGCTCTCTAGGTCTAATAGTTCTTAAGCTGTGAATTTTTTAAGATTGTGAACTTGTGCTTTTTTTGCGTTTTTGAACAACCGTAACTCAAAAACGGTAACTCAGAAAAAATTGAACCTTTGTTGTATTTTTTATGTACTATTATATGTATAACATGTATACCAAAAATCATCAACTTTTGAAATATGAAGGTTCAAACCATTGGTTGAATTCATGTGGAATGACCCTGGTGGGGGTAGAGTCCCATAAGTAAAGTTGACTGTTTTATGTGCTCTTTTTTTGTGAGTTTTTTCAGTGAAATACACTTTGTTTAATTTGGTCTAGAAAATGTGTAAAAAATTTCTGATTACTTTAATAGCCTTGTGGAAAAGGGTAACACAATAAATTACAAGTAAGTGATGAAATATTAAATAAATTTCCTGGAAGAACAGGTAGCTAGCAAAAAAGATTATCTTATCATTCTGGATAAGCTGGACTCAGTGTTAGCTCAAAGGTCAAGTCAGAGCTCCTTATCTCGTCTGGTGACTGGCGACTTCCTCGTTATGATTGCTAAATGTAAACAAACCATTATCTAAAGAACACTTAAATAAATTTGGATTGGATGACCCAAGTTTTGGAGAAGACTCAGAATGTGATTCTCCATGGTCCAAAAGGATTTAACGGTCAAAATAGACACCTTAAAATTTTGACGTTATACAGAATAAAAGCCGTATTAAATGAGGAGAGAGGATTGTCTTATTTATTTGGAATTATGGAAGTCGCAACAATAGGAGTGGAAAGTTACTGGGCTAAGTAAACCCCTCCTCACTCCAAGACGATTCTCGTAACGGCCGCTGCCTCGCCAGGCACTAGTGTCGGACCTTGAGCGGGGTGGGGGAAGCCAAGAGCAAGCAGCAACGGAGAGTTCAGTGAGTCAGTCTCGTCCTAGCCACCAGCGAAGTAAGACACATCCTTCCCGGTGAGTGTACTATCGTAGCTACACTTTACCGCTCTTACGTTCGCTTATACGTCCGTAGAAGACTTTTTGTTGGGTATGCTTTAGAAAAGCAATTAACCAAAAATATTAAGCGGGTGAAAGCAATAGGAAGAGATAGGCACATAATAAACAGTATTGGTAGCATTGTAAGGAAATATAAAATTCAAAATGAAGCCAAAAAATGATAAACGATGATATAGAAATGATATAGAATTGAAATGAATCTATTATTCCTAGTTTTACAGCTATACCCGCAAAAATAACAAAAGTGATGACGACAGCTTTAAAACCTATAAGAAGAAAACATACAACACGGTAAAAGTTGTTGAAGCTAGACAGATAAAAAAAATCTTTGAAGGAGACGACGTTTCTATGCTACTTGGAAAAAAAGATTATGTAAAATGAGGGGGCGTAAAAAAATAAAGGAGACTTTTGCTAGACAACTTAAAAAATCTATACAAAAAAATCAGGAATGAAACCAACTGCAGCATTTCGTATACAACTTTTACAAGGTGTAGGCCGTGTTGGGTTGCCCCTCCAGCATCAAGAGATCGTGACACCTGTGCGTGTATTAAAAAAGAAAACGTAAATTTGTTGGTTTCTGCTTTGAAGAAAATGAATGCTATAGAATACAAGGATACTTCAGAACTTATAAAATCTGTAGTATGTTCTACTGAAAGTGAACAATGCATGACGAGCAAGTGCACCAAATGCAAATCATTAGAAATTTTATATACAACGGAAGACAAAAATGTTCATGTTAATTTCTTTAAATGGACTTCAATCAACTTAAATGGAAAAGAGAGTAATAAAAGAAAAATACCCCCGCCGCAGCAAACCTGCCGTCTAAGCGAATTTCCATTTGGCTGAATTGATTTTCAATCGATCTATTTAAATAACATTAGGTTTAACGAGTACCTAGGTTTGCTGCTACAAGGAAACTAATAAAGTGTGTGTTTTAAGTAAAATAATTATTGCTTAGTATAAAATGAATATAGGCTATTTTCCAAGTTTGATCAAAAGAGATCCATAAACAAGCAAACTACAACATTTTAAAATATTCTCCATAAGAATAACATGAGAATTTTAAATTTACAATTTTTTTAGTTTTCTCCGTAACCAATAACCGTACAAAAACACTTTGATATACTGAACTGTTTGTTTTTTTAAGCTCTTTAAGAAGGTTTAGAGAAAAATTTGGAAATTTTGTGTTTTGAGGGTCAAAAGTGAGAAAACCCAATTTTTACCCCATAAAACCCTGTTCCCATGGTCCGATCATGATGGATCGCGAACTCATTCAAGTTTATCCCGACTTACACCTTCAAACCAAATTTCATCAAAATCGGATAAAAATTACTCAAGTTATCGTGTTCACGGACACATATATATATAAATCTATATATATATATATATATACATATATAAAAATTTGAACGAATGGTGTTTTTGGCCTCTGGGGACATCAAAATGAAAAAGTAAATCGGTCCCGGGCCTAAGTCTTACCATGAGACCTACGGTAATAGCTACTTCCCTATCGGGAAATTCGCTAAAAGTGTCAAGCGAACAGTTAAGTCCACAATGTCAGCAAATTTAGCTGAAGTAAAACTTCTTCTCAAGTCACGAGTTAATATTGTAGTGTCTACTCTTCCTTATGGCCTTTACCACCATATTAAAAGACAGTTGTTTTAACTAAATATTTAACATATGTTGGTTTTATTATTATTAATTTTTGATTTGTAAACAGTTCAGTTTTTACATTGTTTTAATACAACTTTTAATTCATACAACTATTGATTTTTATCATTTACTTTATTGGTGAAGCCTTATAAGACAACATGAACATTAATGAAGATTTGGTTACCCAAGAAATAGCCAACTTGTCTATTAAAGTTCCTCAATTCTGGAAACCTGACCCAAAAATTTGGTTCGTTCAAATTGAAGCTCAATTTCGAAGATCACGAATTGTCTCAGATCAAGCCAAGTTCGACACGGTGGTAAGTTCTATTGACGCTGATATTCTCAAGTCTCTGAGATTGTCACAGATCCACCAGCAGAGAACAAATACATAGCAATAAAAACTAAATTAATTTCCTTGTATGATGAAAGTGACACAAAAAAAATACAAACCCTTCTGACAGGTATGGAACTTGGGGACCAAAAACCCTCGCAACTTCTGAGTAGAATGAGGTCACTGGCTCAGAATAAGGTGAGTGACGATTTTTTAAAAGCTCTTTGGTTGAAACAACTACCGATCAATGCTCAAACTACTCTTTCAATTTGTGATGAAAACTTATATAAACTTTCGGAGATGGCTGACAAAATTATTGATATCACAACTAATCATCTAAATTCCACTACCTCTGTTTCTTCCATAGAAACACAGGGTTCACGTATAACTAATCATGCACGTATAACACATCAGAATTGTCTAATGAAATTCAATCCATCTACAAAAACAATCTAAGTCAATCCAAATGTGTTTCTCACAACACACACACAAGGAAATCTTCTCCACAACAGTCTTTGTGTTACTATCACTTGAATTTTGGTGGACATGCTCGCAAATGCACACCTCCCTGTTTGTTATCTCAGTTACCTTTGGAACAGGAAAACTCCAAAACTTGCTTTTCAGCCAGTGAAATTAAAGACCAAACGTACATTATTGTTGAGCTTCAAGAACAATCAACAATCAAATCTAAACAAAAGCCAAACGTGTACAAATATGTTGCTGTATGTCAGCATGACTTAGTAACAGACTTGATGGGGAAGTAAAAGTTAATTTTCTTAGAATAGTTAACAGTAAATTACCTAACTCAAAACAGCTGTTTCGACTCGATGAAAACGACCATTCTGTCGTGACATTCGAGGAAATTAGATGTATTTTGAAGCCGTCTACTAAAGTATTAAGAGGCCAACGAGTATATTTCCGTTTTCCCACTGAGTTAGATGTTTTTGAAAAGTCTTAAATCTACTGTACTACATAATCAAACATTTAGTACACCCTTTATGAAGTGTGCCAATGAGGTGGGTTTTTATTTTTTGCCGCAGTTGAAACGCACTTTGACAAATTAGCCTATAGTAAGACAGATGAAAAAGACTTGTTGTCAACACTATAAGACTTATAAAAGACTGATAAGTTTGAGAATTGTTGTTTTTTATCTTAAGTGACAACTGCGTTTTATATTCATGCATTTTACATTTTCAAGTAACGTTCTTGTTAGATTTATTGCAGTCTGACAAAATTATACTCTACCGTACCTAATTATACTATGATTTATATGGGTTTGTTACCGTTAAGTTGTTTATATAAATAAATTTACATTCAAACAGATATGTGTGTTTATATTTTACCAAACTTTTAATTTTTGAATATATATATATATATTTATATATACTTATTCATTATAAAGTCTGTCATTTAAAGAAATGTCTTTCCTCTGGTCATTGCTGTCCTTCCTCTGGCATGCGATAATTAAAAAATATTTTATATATCCCGTAATAATGATTTTTATGAGTGCACCTTTTGAAGTAGTGTAGTACATAGTTAAATGTAATTGAAAATATAAAAAAATAATTTAAAAAAAATTTGATTGCCATTTTTTGTCTTAAAATTGACCTGTTTAGAAATATTCACCCAGATACCCTTGACCCGGAAAAAGTTCACTACAACCTCATCCTCAAAAAAACTACTACACCTGCAAAGACAAATAATCTTAAAAGAAAGGCCAAAGAAATCCGAGCTCATCTGAGCTATTTCGAGGTTAAGATGGGGCTTGAGAAAGTTCAGAAGTTTACCCGCGGAGAAATTGAAGTTGAAGACCAGTCATTATTTCAAGTGTGGAATTCCATCACGAATGAGCTTACCACCCTAAAAAGTGAAATTTCAGCGTCGGAGAAAGAAAACGAAACTCCATTTGACCCTTCTACAACTTCAACTCCGGATCCTAAACGGCCGTCAGCCCTAACACCTGCTGAAGAAGAGATTGTGGACGACGTGCTGGCCTTTCCAATCGACTTTAATGAAGACGGAAGTGACCAGGCCGGAATCGTCGAGGGCCGGATAATTGCAGACGGCAACTCTTCCGTGGACGAACAGGGTCTGCAGAACATCATTGTCAGCCTAGGATTTACCAACGCAGACCAAGGCATATCTATCGAGGTAGGTCCCGTTTAATAATTTGATTAAGTTACATTACACAGTAAATATAAGTAAAAAATGCAAGACTCATTTTAACATTCGTGCTGCAACTTAAAACAAATTAAGTAAAGTTAAGATAGCCTACACGGTTGAAAACGGGGAGCACATAAAGGTAACACCCCAACAACGTACCATCACGACAGCCTGACACCACACATTTATCCGATTTGGGGGTTGTCGTGGTGGCAAAGTTGTTGGGGCAGCAATTCATTGCTAACATGCAAGGCGGCGTGTTGGTGGTCGCATCTTAACAGCAAGCCCTTGAATACCACTGTTAGAAATTCATATCAACCACCTGTGTTCATTATAGTGAAATATTTTTTATCATCCAAGTTATTATGGTTAAACATGCCTATTGTTGCAGGTGTCTGTCACGGATATATTGGAGAGCATGCCTGAAAGCAATGTTCCTGAGCAGCCTGATCCTGAATTGATACGTGAACTCCCATCTGAGAACAACCAGCCATCATGCAGCCAAACAGAAACTACGAGCTCTGCAGGTAACTTAGAGGATTTATTCATTAGACATACTTTAGACCAACGCAACGAGATGATTAAGTTAAACATTCATATCTTTCTATTATCAACTCATAGTTTTTTTTTTACATTAAGATGCTTATTTGAAGTGTTATGTTTTTTACTTTTTATTTCGGGAATGCCCCTACCAGGAACATACACCACTCCATCAAAATGCTGTACATCCATTAGTATGCCATCACCTTTTAAAAGGTGCCTGCAATATCCCTCCCCGACATTAATCAAGAAAAAAGTCAAGAAGAGACCTAACACCAGCTGTGATTACGGGAGAAAGCTACAGACAGTACATGGAGGCAAGAGAAGCTAAGAAGAGGGAAAAGGAAGAAGAAAAGGAACGGCGGCGAATGATACGACAAGTAAAGAACACAATAAAACAAGAAGGAAGTAACAACAAACGACCGACAACAGCACCAGATGACAGTGACAGTGACTCCCAGGATGAAGAAATTCCCATTGTAACCCCTAAGGACCTTGAAAATCTGATGGCCAATAGCTGGGTCGTCGTCCCTTATGATGTGGAAGGGAAACAGCAATATTTTCCTGGCCAAATAAAAATCAATTACAAATGACAGAGCCAGAATAAAATTTCTTTGTAGTAAAGGAAACAAATTTATATGGCCTGATGAAGACGACTTCGACATTGACGTACCTTTGACAGACATTGTCCAAATTTGTGCACCCGCTGTGGAGAGACGTGGTTTCTTTTCATTCAAAGAAAAAGTTATGTCATAAGTTTCGTTCCCGTCAGTAGACATTTTTGTACATAGTGTATAATTTGTATATAAATGTATTTTTATTTTAAGTTTGTTGTAATTAATTTTGAAATAATTTTAAATTACACCCGCTGTGGAGGGACGTGGTTTCTTTTCATTCAAAGAAAGTTTTTCCAGAAAATGAATGATAAAACAAAGAAACAGAGGTACTTCGAAAAACTGAAAGCAGATCCAGAGCGTCTAGCTGCGTATCATGAAAAGGAAAGGCAAAGAATGAATAATCTACGAAGAAAACAGCGAGAAGAGCTGAAAGGAAGGCCAGATTTGCAGAAGAAATATAGGAAACAAGAAACGTTAAGAAAGCGTAAGCAAAGGGAAAAAAAGAAGGTAGGCCTAAATTCAGCACCCCCTAGGATACTAATACCTCTAATACCCTAATACTACCCTAATACTAGGGGGCGTATCCTAAATTCAGAACTTGGATCATTCAAACAACCTCAAAGTTTAGGGAAAGCTTTCAATAAATTTTAAAAAAATCTGCCCAAAAGCCCATCTAAAAAGCAAGCTGTTGTAAGAAAATTAATCAATGAATTCCCAGAGTTGTTGCAGTCAGCAAAGAAGCCTCTGTTTAGGAAAAAAAATACTTTCTGATGAAGATAGGCAGATTGTTACTAATTTTTATTGTAGAGAAGATATCAGCTATCAAGCTCCTGGTAAAAGGGATACTAAATCAGTAAAGGATCCAGAGACCAAAAAACGCAAACTTTTGCAGAAACGATACTTTGTAATGTCTGTAAAAGAGCTGTACCAACAGTTCATAGAAGAGACTAATTTGAGACATGTTAAGAAAACAGCTTTTTATAATTTAAGGCCCAAAAATGTTTTGCTGGTTTCAGACATACCACACACTGTTTGCATGTGTAAATACCATGCAAATTTCATTTATTTGTTAGAATCACTGATAAATACAGAGTAACGGAAACTGATTTCACCCCAAATGGTAGTGATGTAATAAGCCGGGCCGTTTGTAGTCTTAACAATGAGGAGTGCATGTTAAGCACCTGCATTAAATGTAAAGATGTGGATATTGAGCAGTTTTTGGTAGATAAGGATACTGAAGACTATGATCCTGAAAAAAATCAAATTGAAACAATGGTTAGACATTGAGAAAAGGCCTAGAATAACTGAATGTTATGGCACAGTTTCACTGTTGATCCTTGAAATAAAGAAGCAGCTTCCAGTGTTTAAAGTTCATTGCTTTGTGAAAAGAGTACAGGCTGATGAAACTGATATAAGGAGAAAGAAGGGCATACCTAGTTTTGGGGTTCTTCAAATCGATTTTGCTGAAAATGTTTCCATTATCTCACAAGATGAGATACAAAGCGCACACTGGTCACATGAACAAGTGACATTGTCCACTAGTTGTGCATGGGTTGGGGATAAAACCACTTCGTACACTGTTATCAGTGACGATTTGTCACATGGCAAATTATCCTTCAAGGTTTTTCTTTATAAAATAGTCACAGGTTTAAAAAATAGGTTTCCAAAACTTGAAGAACTGACTATTTTCTCAGACGGCCCCTCATCGCAGTTCAAGAACAAGTACACAGCTCATCTGCTATACTCACTGCAAAAAGATTTCAGCATAGATGTGGAATGGTTGTTCTTCGCACTATCACATGGCAAAGGAGCCGTAGATGCCATTGGGGGTGCACTCAAACGCAATGTTTGGCTTGCTATTAAATCTAGAAAGCGTCTGATCTCAAGTGCTTACGACTTTTATGTGTTGGGATTTCACTCATAATCTGCATATAACGAACCATACTTAGCAGAGATATGGTTTGTCATTAAGCCACACTTTTAAAAATGTCATGACCAGAAATAATATAACAGTTTCATTTAAAACTACAAACAAGCTCGGATCCTTATTGAAAGAGCGGCAACAAACGGATTCCACTGTTTATGACAAGTCTGGGGTTTACAAATTAAACTGTAGGGATTGCCCAAAATATTACATCGGACAGACTTCACGCTCTTTCAGGAAGAGGTTCAGAGAACATATCCCCAAGAAAACTACAGGCCCACAAACTTCAAATTTCGCAGAGCATTTAATTTCACTCAACCACAATTATGTAAACATAAATAGTAATATGGGCGTTTTACATCTCTCCCAAGACCGATCAACCATTAACACTTATGAAGAATTTGAAATATACAAGGCAGTCAAAACAGATGGTCAAAATGTTTTAAATGACAAACTCTCATTCCAATCGAATTCCATTTATAACACCGCAATCAAAATACTGGATGGGGGAGGAAGAGAGAAGGAATGAATGCGAGCCGGCAGTGATAAGGAGACAATGGCTGACGTCATACCGTTAGACCACTGACCACCAGTTCGAGCTACAACTTCCACCCGGTCGCGTCACCTGTCTCGTGTTCCCGAGTACTCGGTCTTTTTAATGTTAAATGTTTGTGTCAATGTGCGTTTTCATGTGTTCGTGTTCTATGTACTTATTTATTAAATGACGACCTTCATATATGGAAGTGAATAACGACGCCTTGTACGGCCTGAAGACGGTTCCCTGTGAACCGAAACTATAGTTGCCACAAGCAGCATATTGGATTACTGAATGCAGGTATTTAAACCACTGTAATATTTATATTGATTGCGTAATATGGTCCAATTTTGTTCGCAGCTGTTGGTCACTACGTCGCTAGCTTAGTGACGGCGTATTAGTCAGATTTCACATTTGTAAACAACAAAATTGTGTTATCATGTTTGTAAACATTACGTGTGTCTACATTTTCAAATAATAATAAGTGTGTTTATATTGGATTTTATGACGAATAAAACAATGAAGTGTCAGTTTTTTCAATAGTGTTTTGTTAGTTTTTAGTTGTTGTTCTATTACAGAAGACGAATTATTTTTCAGAAATGTTTTGGTTGAAGGTTATATGATGGCTCGTAGGGGCGATTTTTTTTATTCGAGTGAAATAGATAGAATTTTATTTGAAGAAAGCGACAGTGACCAAGAACGTAGTAGTGATTCTAGTGATGATTGTTTTGGGGAAGTAGAAGAGTTGGATCCTCAATATCTTGTGGAATCAGATGGTGAAGATGGGATAGCCAATTCAGACCAAGGCGATTGTTTTGGGGAAATTGAAGAGCTGGATCCTCAGGACACTTTGGAATCAGACGGTGAAGATGGGTTAGCCAATTCAGACAGAGACCAAGGTGAGGCTGTAAGTGATAGTGTAGGTTTTGATGAAGTACCTATTGATGATATGGACATTGAAATCGAAATGGGGCAAGGCGATAGGTCTAGTCTTGTACCTTTGGTTTCTGAGTCAATTGAAACTAGGCCTACATCTATGTCTCTTCCTGAGTCAATTGAATTTCCTAGGGCTGGACCAAGTAGGCCTAGGGATCCCAGACGTCCTCTTTTTCCCGGACATGTCCTCTTTTTGGGTACAAAAAAAACGTCCGGGGGGATTTTTGGCAATACTTTCAAATGTCCGGGATTTTGACTTTGTGAGAGAATAAAAAGATATTTCTGCAAGTATTAATATTAGCAATCAGCTTTAATAAGAAATCGTCATCATAACAATAAACTAAGTTAAAATAGGCTACTACACTTTAATAGGTAATATCTTACATATAAGTGTCATTTCCTCTTTCTTTAGGTCAAATTTCGTGTATAACGTACGCTAGAAACCATTGGAAATACTGTAGAACCAAACGGAACGGAAGGCGAACAATGGGTTTCCTGCTTTGCCTGACTCTGCTGACTGTAAACTGAATAACTCTGCTCACTATACTCTGTTCAAACAGCCGTGGCACCTGACGGATTAGGAGATTTTTTAAAATTCCATTATTAAATCATTCATATTTAGAGCACCTGATATCATATTTAAGAATAACACTACCCAATTGGTATGTTGCTAGCCACAAAACAAGAACAATGGTAGTGTCTCAGACTTAGATGCGGTCTGCGGAAGGGACGGATTTAATTCCCGGCACAACCACAACCACAAAAAAGTTGCAAAAAAACTTTATCCTCACATTGACCCCTTGTAAAATGCCACTGGCGTAGAAAAAAATTAAAACACTGAGAACCAACTATTCAGGCGGTAGCAGTGACGGGACTCCGACGGCATCGTTAGTTGGGTAGTGTACTTTGTGTAGGTTAACTGTTGTTTGCTGTGCAGGTATAATGCAGTCGTGTTGGGTGCTAGTTCAAACACTTCTTAGATAAAATAAGTTCTCTGGTTCATGGTCTGATTTTGGACAATTTCTGTTTAGCATGCACATTGGCACCAGTTAAAAGGGTGTTTTTGTAAATCAAACATGCTTGAATGTGTTGTAATGTTGCAGTATTCCTTTGATATTACCCCCCAGGCCCCCCGGTGATCCCCCCCCCAAAAAAAAATATATGTCTAGGACCAATTGAATGACCCTAATAGAAGAAAGCTTGCTAATGAGAAGTTGTGAGTGCCAAAAATAAAAGCATATCTGGCACTTTATATTCTAATGGGCCAGGTAAAAAAAGCCAAGGATAAAGATGTACTGGTCGACTAGGAAAATTGTAGAAACAACTATTTTTTCAGAAGTCATGACATATAAGCAATTTTGTCTTATTTCACGATTTTTGCATTTCTCTGATCCTGATTTTACAGATCCAAAAGATAAATTGAAGAAATTGAGACCGGTAATTTCCTACCTAGAAAATAAGTTTATGGACTTCTATACAATGGAACAAGATGTAGCAATAGATGAAAGTTTAGTGAAACTTAGAGCTCGCTTGAGCTACATTCAATACAATCCAAAAAAAAAACCCCTTTTTGGTGTAAAG